GTATGAAATAAAGTCTTATTTGACAGATGTGAGTGGGAAAGTAATAGCCAAGTGTCAGAAGCAGCAATAACTTTTACAAGAATACTATCCATTTCACTGCTACTTCCAATAGGTTCCGAAACAATTAAACCAAAGAAATGCTTGTAAATGCCACAGTGCTGCTGCTTCAGAATCTAGAAGAACAGCAGATATCCAGCCCCGAGGGCAGAGGAAGGACAGTCAACCCATCTCACTCCAATTTCTCGTAAGGCAGTGCTGGAGTCTTCCATATTAGGACTCAAATACCTTAAAATGTGTTCTTTGCTTCGTAACAAGAATGATTTCTAACAATTCAGAAAGAAATGTAATCTTACACTTTTAAAACTGGCACTACGAGTGAAGTGGGAGATATCCTGGTAAATGTTTGCTTCTTCTAGCACTTGTATCAACCTCATAGTTTCATAGTTTGTAGGGTCAGAAGGGACCTTGACAGATCATGAAGTCCGACCCCGTGCGGTGGCAGAAAAGAGCACTCGGGTCAAACGACTCCAGCAAGGTGTTCATCTAGCCTCCTCCTAAAGACCCTCAAAGTAGGAGCCAGCACCACTTTGCTTGGAAGTTGGTTCTAGATCCTAGCTGCCCTGACTGTGAAGTAGCGCCTCCTGATGTCTAGTCTGAATCTACCCTCTGCCAGCTTGTGACCTTTATTTCTTGTCACTCCTGGTAGTGCTTCGGGGAACAGGGACTCTCCCAATGCCTGCTGGTCCCCCCTGACTAGTTTATAACAGGCCACTAGATCCCCCCTCAGCCTTCTCTTGTGGAAGCTGAACAGGTTCAGGTACCGTAGCCTCTCCTCGTAGGGCCTGCCCTGCTGGCCCCTGATCATGTGAGTGGCCCTCCTCTGGACCCGCTCCAAGTTGTCCACATCCCTCCTGAAGTGCGGCGCCCAGAACCAGACGCAGTACTCCAACTGCGGCCTGACCAGTGTCGCATAGAGGGGGAGGATCACCTCCTTGGACCTGCTTGAGATGTATCTGTGGATGCATGACAAGGTGCAGATGGCCTTCCTGACTGCGTCCCCACACTGTCGGCCCATGTTCATTTTGGCATCAATAATGACTCCAAGATCCTTTTCTGTCTCTGCACTGACGAGAAGGGAGTTCCCCAGCCTGTAGGTATGCTGCTGATTCTCCTTCTAGCGTACCCACTTCCCCCCACATCTTAGTGTCATCAGCAAATTTGAACAGGGTGCTTTTTACCCCTTCGTCCAAGTCACTGATGAAGATGTTGAACAGTGCGGGTCCGAGGACTGAGCCCTGGGGGACCCCACTGCCCACATCCCTCCAGGTCGAAAATGACCCATCCACCACCACTCTCTGGGTGTGGCCCTCCAGCCAGTTAGCGACCCATTTGACTCAAGATTCGTATGCATTCAATTCCTTAAATAGGAACCTCCACCCCTTCAACAGGCCCCTCCCAGTCTTATTTGCATTCTGACAGAAATATCCATACACAGAAAGGGCCCAACAGCAGTAAACAGCAGCACAGTTAGGAAAAATACAAGTGGGGGGGGGGGTTAGAAATACTGTTAAAAAAAACACTTTCAAGTAACAGGATCTGAAAACCTGTTTGAGTAGGTGTTTTGCCTACTTTGAGAATCTGGAGGTAGCTTTTAAAAGTCCAAGAGAACTAAGGACCCCCAGAACTTGCTAATAAGAAGTTATTTTATCCATCTATACCAGGGGTGGGCAATCATTTTGGCCAGAGGGCTCCTTACCGAGTTTTGGTGAGCTGTCGAGGGTCAGAAGTGTAGCTCTGCCCCTTGACAGGTACCTCAGCCCCCGGTCACCATCTTGGGACTCGAAGTCCCACCCCTAACCTCTGACCGTTGCCACCACAAGTCCCTCCCCTTGCCCCCAAAAGTACTCCTTTTGCAGGGGGGTTGGGGGTTGCCATCTTGGAACCAAGGAATAAAACCAAATCATATATTAAAAAAGTCAAACATCTACTATAACATATTTTAATTTTATTGTCAAAAAAAAAAAAAAAAAAAGAAGTTGTCTCATTTTATCTGTGTTTGCATACTGTATATAGAGGCGGTTGCATAATAGCTCAGAAATAACGTCTTACTTTTGTATTTGTGGGTGGGGTGTGTGTGTATGGTGGGGGGGTGCGTGTGAAGTTTGAGAGGGTATGGCTGTATGTGTGGGTAGGTGGGGTTTGTGGGATGTGAGGGAGGGTGGGATTCCCTCACGTGCCCCCCATCCCTATGGCACACAGCCCCCACTACCAGCAGCATCAGCAGCAGCAGGTCCTCAGGATGCTCATGGCCCATGCAAGCACAGCTGCCCAGAAGCACGTGGCTCCAGCCAGTTCCAGGAGTTCACGTGGCGGCAAGGAGCAGAGCCAGGCCAGATCACCTCTATTGTGGAGGGCTCCCCACGGCTCAGATGCAGCTCCCGGGAGCCGCATGCCATCAGGGGAAACCCTGCTTCAGGTGGTATGCAAGTCGTGGGAGCTGCACGTAAGCCATGGTGAGTCTTGCACAAAAGAACCAAGTCAACCCAGACTCCGGACTCCATGCTCCCACCAACCCCAACCCCATGCTTCCCCAACACCTGCCACCACTTTCCTACCTGCTGCATGGAGCAAGCACTGCAACCAGGACTACAAGAAACTGCCACTGGAGACCACAGAAACTGAGCAGGTTTCCTCATGGCTGCAACAGTGGCAGCAGCAGCCCTGCCCAGAAGCTGTGTGCACTGGCCAGGGCCAGTGTTGAGGCCCTTGTGTGCATGAGGATGGAACTGAAGTGCACAGGCTGGGTGTGGTACAATTAATTGGTGGCAGCCCACAGGCTGGGGAAAAAAAATCGCCTGGTTGGCTGGATCCAGCCTATGGACTGAATTTTGCCCACCCCGATCTATACGTACATCAGGTATAGATTAATTATTTGTGTAATTCAAAAGCAAGCCCTTCCCCAAACAACACCATAGGTACTTCCAGACATTTATTAATGTGCTTCTGCTAATGTGCATTAATTTTAGTACCTCCATTGTGAGGTACTAGAAAAAGGTGCATTAGCCTATTTTCATGCACATTAGCAAAAGCACTTTTTTTTTTTTTTTGGTGATGCTTTAATGTGCATGAAAATAGGCTAATACCTATTAAAAAACTCGCATGTAAGCACGCTCAGTACCCGTTTGGCAGTTGGTCTGGAGATTAGTAGTTCCTACAAATTTCACACTAGGGACAGATTTATTTTTTTAAGCTGTTAAATAAACTATGCAAACCACCATATGTACTGACAAACGAGATCTGTTTTTACAATGACATACAACTCATACTGTTTCTAATATTCAGTGCAGTAATTCCATCTCTTATAAAGTCAAGCATGAAGAACGATTCAAATTTTGAACATAAAGGAATCTCTCTCTTCTCATTTAGAAGTAAGACATCTTTCACATACCTTTAACTGTAACAGATGTATACAATAATTATGATTTCAAAAATAAAATTCATATTCTTATATAAATAGATACAAGCAGGAATTATTTTACTCTGCACTTAGCATGGCATTTCTGGATATCAATTCAGCCAGCATGCAAAACTGCACACCCTTAAGAAAAGTAGTAGGCTCCAAGTGTGCAACTATTTTTTTTTTTAGCTCCATTCTATAAAAATACGTCTTTGAATTATATAAAAGATTTAGGTTTGTATATTTATTAAGACATGAAACCTGTCCAACTAGTAACCAAACATCTAAAACTACTTCTGTTTTGTTGTGTATGTAATTCATGCTATACAAAAAAACCCCAAAAAATTAAATATGGTTTTAATCTCATTTTCTAACTACAATCTAGCAACACACAGGTCTTCACTTCCTTACAAATCACTGACAATAAAAGTCCTAGAAACATTCTAAATATTCATTTGGCAGTACAATCCCACTACCATGGAGTCTAACTTCTACTTTCTTTCCCAATAACCCTTATATATCTTTCCCCCGCTAAAATATGGAAATCACTTTCCCCATAGTTTCTCTACACATGTACCTTCTGTGTTTAAGAAGCTCTACCAAAACCTTGAAACCTGGATTAGTTCAGTTGCCCTATACAAGGAATATTGGTAGATCACTTTCAGATCCTGTTAGCACTGAACTTTGGTGGTATATAAGGAAAAACGGAAATCTATGCTAACTAATTAGCATGCCACCACCAACTACATAGACTGAGGATGCCACATTTACAGCAGTGGCATCTTCTGAGAGAATGAAACGTGAGATGCCACAAAATTTATACACTATCTGCATGTCAGCCTGCATTTAGTTTTAGGAGATTATGACCTACGTTGTTTTATTGCAGAACCATTAAAGAGAAAACTGATAATGGTTGGAGATAAAGGTAGATGATGCACAACACAGAAAAAGGTGCCAAAATCATCTGGCCAAATATTGGTGGCATTTTTAAAAAAAAATCTCCAGTGGGGTGGGAGGATGAGATTCAAATCAAGAGCAAAAAGAATTAAATATGTACACCTTTAGACCAGAAATGTAAATGTTAACTCAGCTTCCAAGATCCTTCCTCCAGAGGTATTCTCATAAAGAAGAAAGAAAAAGGGAATGTTATCTTTCTTGTTTCAGAAACAAGAATGGGAATGCTGTCTTCCTCACCCCAGAGAAAATCCTGTTACTTTAATAAAAGATCATCCATATGTTTATTTCTTCCAAAAAAGGGAGCCAAGACTAAAGAAAATAGCTTCTACGGGTACCCAAATGGAATGAGAGGCACAAGGCCTGAGGTTTTAATTCACTTCTGATCTGGGGACAAAGGAGTCCAGCAAAAACAGACTTCACATAAGTTTTACCACACACATCTAACTACAGAAGAAAAACAGAAGACAACAACATGCTTTTCTACTTCAAAACAAGTACGTCTTTTAGTGTTAAAAGCTTTACTAGCATAACCAAAGAGCAAAACAGCACACGTTTGCAATCTGTTTGCATCAAGAATAGAGAATACCTCATGATCTAGTTGGCTCTGGGGGTCCCCTTTATTTATGTTTGTATCTCTGGTCCAACGTGGAGGTTTCCAGGTTCTTTCCTGTGTTCCTCGATTGTAGTAATAACATCGTCCTGTAGTGTCTTTATGAGTTTCCCACTCTCCATTAACTTGAATTGGTGGGTTTGCAGGTAAAGGTGGGAGTGCAGACTGAGATATTTTCAGTTCTTGTAAATTAGCATAAACTGGTGAATCAGGCCTCCCTTGGCTTGGTGGAGTAGTTGGCTATTGTAAAAGAAATAATTCATTATTACTGAAACTGCAAACAAATTATTATTATGCTCCTTTAAATAACAAATATTACAGTAGGATAATGCAAATTAACTAAAACATTTTTAAATATACATATTAAGGGAAAGACTGGAGAGAGTTCAGAGGATGGCCACCCGCTTGGTGAGAGGGCAGCAGGACAGGCCCTATGAGGAGAGACTGAGGGACCTGAACCTGTTTGGCCTCAGCAAGAGGAGGCTGAGGGGGGACCTGGTGGCTGCCTACAAACTCATCAGGGGAGATCAACAGCAAATAGGAAGAGTCCTATTCTCCCCAGCACCACATGGGGCGATGAGGAACAACAGTAATAAGCTGATGGAAAATAGGTTTAGGTTAGAAATCAGGAGGCAATATTTTATGGTTAGGGTGGCCAGAATCTGGAACCAACTTACCATGGAAGTGGTCCTCGCCCCTACCTTGGGTAAATTCAAAAAGAGGTTAGATGATCACCTGTCTGGGGTCTTGTGAACCCAGCATTATTCCTGCCTGTGGCAGGGAGTCAGGCTAGATGATCTGTTCAGGTCTCTCCTGACCATAGCTCCTATGAAATTATGAAACTTCTGCCATTTAAGAGGGCATGGTTATTTAAAAAATTGAATATTTTTTCTGCCCATAAACTTAAGGTTTATTCCCCAGACCATATCTATTCAACCTAGAAGATACCTAAAGAGCTGTTTTGTTTCATTAACATTCCTCCAGATAACTAGTTTTATTTAACAGATTTGAGAAGGAATTAGGCACGATGTCAATAACTTGCAGCAAAATTCAGTTGAAGCATCAAGATATGCAAAGTGTAAAGCATTAACTTTCGTTAGATGTTGCTTTCTGAGTGTAAAACATAGGTGGCTCTTCCCCTAAAACTGAAGTCATGTAGAGAAACAGAAAAAAATAAAGATGTCTTTTATATTGCCTGTTTTCTATTATCCTGAGTGAGATCTAACAACGTGGCCTAAATGCTGCAACTAAAGAATTTGGGAACTTCAGTGAATGGTTTTCCTGTAAATTTTTAAAACTGAAATATCACTGACCTAAAACAGCTATTCTTAAATAATCAGGGCTCATGGTAGGAGGTGGTATCTTTTATTAGACCAACAAGATTTTTGCAAAAACAATTCTTTAATTGCAAGCTTTTGGGCACAAACACCCTTCATCAGGCATCAGAGAAATTGTAAAAGTTCTCCTGGGTAGAAATGAAAGTTCATATTTCATAGGATTTCACAGAGGAGTCAATTAAGATATTGTTACTGTCCAACAGTAATTGTATGTCACAACCTCAATATAGTATAGAGGAACTTATTTAGACAGTTTGGTGTTTAAAGTTTGGTGAATGGTAGCCCTTCCCATGGTTCACAAATTAATACGGTCAACTTTATTTGACTATATTTGAAATGGAAGTAGAAATTTAACCAACATCTATAGAATGAAATACTGCTACTGGCAATGCAAATAATGCAATATTTGCAATTATAATTGCAAAAATAATGCAATTTTTCTGCTAGAACGTTATCCCTAGTGATTTACCCACAGGAAAAACTACAAGAAATTGGAGACACTGAAAATAACTTACAAACTACAAAAATGCTTAAAGGAAGCCGTTTTATATTAGCAGTTTATTACACAATGTCATGTTTTTAAAGTTATAAAGATGTTATGAATGCCATATAAAACTGTACAGATTACCACAGGTCTTCAAAACTCAAACTGCTAATCTAGACCACATCTAATCATATATACATGAGATTTTGCTTAGACAAGGAAGTGTGATACTTTGGTTTATACCACATAATCAGATAGAAGCCATTAATAGACAACAACCACAACCAAAAGAGGAATTTACATTTTAAAGAAACTAAAGGAGATTGTAAGACTAGGTCTTAAAGAAAAGCAGGTCTCCTAATATATGATAAATAAGATTTAACATGCACCTAAATTGTATGCAAAAAGAAAAAGAAAACTTGACTACTAGCTGAAGTAGTGGAACTGGAGAGAAGTGCTGCACAAAGTTAAAAAAACCCAACAAGTGAAATGTTGATGTTTCTGCCACACTGTACCATGACAAATGATGAGGATTATATTTTCTACCTGTTCAATAAAGACATCAAAAAAGCCTGATTGAAGGAAAAGATGAAGGTTCTCAAGCTTCATTTCCCCCACCCCCTCCACCAACACACAAAAAAATCACATCCAGCTTTTCATTCTCTCTCTCTCTCATATCCTATCCCAATCTCAAAAGTCAGAAGAATTTTTTTCTGAATTTTGAGACTGGGATAGGATCTCTCTCTCTCTCCCAGTTTTTTTTTTTTAAACCCAGCACTGGGTTCTTTGGTTTACAAAGCCTTTACTACGTTGCTTTTGGGGTTCCACATAAATCTACTTCAGCCTTCATCTCAAATCTTGTTAATCAACTAATCAAGTTAAACTTCAATAGTGAATCCCAAAGCCCAAACTATTTCCTGCTTCAGTACCTTTTGTCTGGACCATCTTCCAGGTTCACTACTCTGCAAACTCCTCACCCATTCCAGTACCCCAATCTCTCTCACACTCCTCATTCAAATCCTTCCCCAATCCCAGGTTACATCCATAAATCTTGTTCCAGGAAGAGGGAAAGACAACTCCCTTCAGATCCTTTAAAAATTGCTTGGCATCTGCAACAAAGGATGATTTGAAACAACCATGAGGCCCTTCCTCAATGCTAGAGAAAGATGTTTCTGGAACTCCTAATGGCCTGGGAAGCTAAACTGACAAACATGAACTTAATTGTAAGACTTGTCCCTGACAGAGCTTTGAAGGAAGATGCATGAACTGCATTGCTGAATGCAGTAAAGCAAGCATCTGCATAGGGAGAATGAAATTATATGTTTGACAATGGAAAGTAACTGGGCAAAGAAAAACGGGGATTGAAGAGAAGTGAATAATAAATCCAAGATACTTCTAGATTTATCATTCCAAGGAAGAAACTGGTAGAAACTCATCTTAACTTCAGCAATAAGGAAATGCTTGGAAATAAAGCACTATCACTGGGGGTACATCTACACGTGTATTTAATGCGACTGAATAACTCCTGGGTGCAGCATCTACATGTGCACCCGGGACAGCAACAAAAATTGAGCTGGGGAGGAGCAGTTTAGGCCAGGCCTGCTCCTGCCCTGCTCTGCCCCCCTACAGCAAGCCAAGGGGAGCCAGCCCTGGGCTGGCAGGGTGCATGGGGATCAGCCCCAGGCTCCAGCTGGTGGTAGCAGTGTGGCCCAGGGTCCAAGGGGGCAGCCCCAGGGTGGCAGGGAGCACGCGGACATCAGACCCAGGCAGTGGGTAGCTGTGTCGGGCAGAGAAGCTGGTTGGGCCAAAAGTCTCCTGTAGCAGCCAAGTCATGTGGCTAGGCAACAAGCAGGAGTGAGGCTCCCTGCTGGCAGGGCTGACCAGGTACAATTTACTCCCGGGACAGCATCTACACGTGCATTACTGCAAAGTAAATAACTCTGAAGTAGGATTAGAGGTACACAAATACATTGGTCCGATATCAGATCGGTACCAATATAAAGAATACTGGCTGTATCGGATATCGGCACAATGGTGCTAATAATTTGGCCAATACGTGCCTGTGCTGTGCACAGCGGCAGTGCAGCATTCAGCCAGCAAGGAGCACAGCCAGCAGCATGGGGAGCTGTCTTCAGCTGGAGATCCAGTGTGGGGGAAGGGGGAAGAAAGAAGGGAGGACAGATCAATCCCCGCCCCCAGTGAGGGAGGGGCAGAGCAGGCACTGCCCAGATGGGGCAAGGGTGGGGCTGGAGCCGCGATTCGGGGGAGGACACTGGGGAGAGGGGCAGGGGGGAGGCATGTGCCCCCCAGATCTGCGCAGGGTGGGCTGCAGCTGAGCCTGCACGGGCCTCTTCTTGGTGGGAGCTAGGCTTGGAGCAGGCACCAGCAATGCTGGGAGGATGCTGCATCTACCCCAAATTTTGCCACCACTGCCAGATGCAGCCCCAACTCAATGCCCCACCTCCACCCACGCGCCAGGAACAGCTAGGGCTGAGGCAGGAGGCTGGCAGTGGCAGCATTCGGAGCTGAGCAACAGTGAAATCTGGAGTGGATACAGCATCCTCCCAGCGCCGCTGGTGGCTGCTCCAAGCCCAGTCTCTGCTGAGAAGAGCCCCACACGGTCCCAGCTGCAGCCCGCCCTGCGCAGATCCAGGGGGAGGGGGGATGTGCACACACCCCATGCCCTCCTGGGGTGCAAGCAGCAGGAACTGCCTCTCCTCCATCACAAGCCGCAGATCCAGCCTGGGCAGCACCTGCCCCCTCCCTCACCACGGGAGGCATTGATCTGCCCCCCATGCCCCTCCCCTCCCCCCACATTAGACTTACCAGTTGGAGGCAATTAGATCAGTATTGGCTGATATGCCTTCTTAAATATTGGCTCTATCGGTACTGGCCCCAAAAATCTCTATCAGTGCACCCCTAAGTAGGTGCCCTTTGTATTTACAAGTACTACCCTGCTGTGGAGTTAGTTTACTGCAGCTTAATAGGGCCACACCTGTAAATGTGCAGCATATACTGAGGAGCTAATTAGTCTACTCCACAGTACAGTATCATGTAGACATGCCCTGGGACCCCTAACTGCTGTGGTGGTGGTGGTGATGGTGGTGGGGAGGGAGTGGAGTGGAGAAGGGGTGTTGCTTTTTAAAACTGCACCACTGGAGTATTCTGCTAGAAAATAGAAGAAACAACAAAACTGCATACTCTCTCCAAGAAAAACAAATGACAAAATTAGGTTTTTAGATCAAAGGAATTTACAGAGTACCAATAGAAATTAGAAATGCACTGATAAAGATTTTGTGAGCCGATACCGATGGCCTATTATTAACAAGCCATATCAGCAAACAGATAGCAATCTGATTGCCAATATGCTGCCTGGCAGCTTGGAGACCAACATCTAGCTGGTAAGTCTGTTGGGGGGC